GATGCATTAAGTCCGGACCCATGGATTTGTGTACGTTTAGCTTTTCTAAATAGTTCCTAACCTGTTCTTTACCTACCAAGGGCTGTCCATCTTCATCCCATCTTGCGTCACTTAGGTCATTAGTCCGGGAGTCCACCTTGTCCGTGAATACACATCATCTGTCACTAGGTTACCTCCTTCATCCAGTAGGGGCTGCACACACCTCTCTGATCACTTTCTTCTTGTTAACATGTCTGTAGAAACCTTTCTTGTTATCCTTTACATCCTTAGCCAGTCGCAATTCCATTTGCGCGTTTGCCTTCCTGATAACTCCCGGCATTCTCGAGCTATAAATTTAAACCCCTCCCTGGTCATTTGTCCAAATTTCCACTTTTTGTAAGCTTCCTTTTTGTGCTTAAGTTCACCAAGGATTTCCCCTGTAAGCCAATCCGGTCTCCTACCATGTTTGCCTCTCTTGCTACGCGTCGGGATGGTTTCTTTCTGTGCCTTCAATAAGGCTTCTTTAAAATACTGCCAGCTGCCCTGGACTCCTTTCCCCTTCATGTTAGCATCCCAGGGGATTCTCTGAGGGAGTCAAAATCTGCTTTTTTGAAGTCGAAGGTATGGATTTTACTACTCTCTTTTCTTCCTTTGGTCAGGATCCTGAAATCTACCATCTCATGATCACTGCTTTCCAGGTTGTCACCCACCTCTACTTCCCCTATTAGTTCCTCCCTGTTTGTGAACAGAAGGTCAAGCTGCGCACGGCCCCTGGTCGGATCCTTCAGCACTTGTATCAAGAAGTTATCCCCAACATTCTCCAAAAACTTCCTGGATTGCCTGCGTACTGCTGTATTGGTTTCCCAACAGATGTCAGGGTGATTAACCAGGGCCTGCGATCTGGAAGCTTCTCTCAGTTGTCTGAAGAAAGCCTCATCTACCTCATCCACTTGATTCGGTGGCCTGTAGCAGACACCAACCACAACATCACTGCTGTTGTTTGCTCCTTTAAACTTAACCCATAGACCCTCAACAGGTTTTTCTCCCTCTTTATATTGGAGTTCAGAGCAATCATAGTGCTCTCGTACATATAGTGCAACTCCTCTTTTTCTCCCCTGCCTGTTCTTCCTGAACAGTCTATACCCTTCCATGACAGTGCTCCAGTCATGCGAGTCATCCCACCAAGTCTCTGTTATCCAAGTTAAATCATATTTCTTGGACTGGGCCAGGGATTTCTTGGACTGGGCTAATTGGGAGAGATGGTGAAAGTTCAGTAATAGGTATTAACAGAGTTGTTGACTTGAGTCCCACGACTTGAACTCGAGTCCGACTTAAGTCGCCTAGGTTACTTGACTCGAGACTTGACTCAGGTTCATTGTTTGTGACTTGAGACTCAACTTGAGACTTGCTAATTTTGTTAAATCGACTTGGTGAAAAAATTGTCCGAAAATGCCAGTATTGATGGCTTTTACAAAAGTGACTTGACGTTTTTTAAGTTAAGACTTGAGACTCGACTCGTGACTTGACTTGAAAGTGACTTTAGAGACTCGACTTGAGGCTTGAACTGTAGTGACTTGAGACTCGACTTGGACTTGACAATGATGACTTGAAGACAACATTGGGTATTAACTGCAGGAATAAGAAACTTCCCAAGATGGCACTCTGTGTGAGTATTTGTTTTTTTCATTTTCTTTTGGCTTCCCCTTTATTAATAGATGTACATGTTAGCTTTATTGTCTCTGTCCTTTGTTACCTGCAGACATTTCTTACTACTTCTGAAAATTGGTAGGAATGGCACTGCGCTTCTGGCAAAAATAACCCAACTGTCATTGAGCTAAGCTAAAATCAAATTGGCTTGAAGAGACAGAAGGAGCAGGTTTCAGTCCTGTTTACAAGATTTCCAGTGTGTCATCATTAGGGATGTTAAAATGTGGTTACGTAAATAAACGTGTTACTGCTGAAAATGTCAGTGGGTTACATGCAGAGAAGGGAGAGAAGGTGGCACCCTGCATGCTGGACTGGTTCCTGCCTGCTCTCTCCTCCCCCCCGCCTCCCGGTGCTGAGTGGGAGGATGAGGGGGCAGTTGGCTCCCTGGGAGCTGTGTGCTGGGAACCTGTGTGTAATCATGACGGTTAACCGGTAAGCCCAGGCTCATTGCTTAACTGTGTACATTTTCACATCCCTGGTCAACATGTACTCATATATGTCGAGCTACAAATGTGAATCGTAGTTTGAATACAACTTCAAGATAATGGAGCATTATTACATCCAGAACATTTCATCATTCAGCCAGCTCAAAACAGAATTCATGTAGTAGGTGGGCTAAAGATTTTTTTTTTCTATAAATTAGTTTTATTTAATTTGGTAGACATGTTTGCAAAATATCAAGGTTTGTTTCCTAGATAATAAACAGCTACCATGATGACTTGGTTCAGAATTGAATCCATACACTTAAATATTTTCTAAACTCCATCTGTTTCCTTCTAGAATGTCGTGTTATGAAGTCATCTTATTCCCGTTCACCTGGTACATCACGGCAATCTGGATCTAAAAGCCCAGGATCCTCCCGTCGAAGCAAGTCACCAGCTTCAGGTATAATTATAAGGAAAGAGCTAAGCATTTACAGCATATAAAATATGAGATTGATTGAATGGACTTTAAAAAAGCCATCTTGTATGAAGTGGAAACACCGCATATTTTATATGGAAGCTAAACACCAAGTTACGACACATAAAAATGCATTTATACCATACCCTGCAAAAAAAAATATATTTTTTGTTAGAAGCAAAAAAGGCTTGAATTTGTGAATGTTACAGTTAATTGTACATTTTTAATACATTGCTGAAGACCCCTGTTAACTGAAGAGGGATCATCTGGTTATATCCTCACTCATTACACTAAAAATGTATCCTTCAATTTAGGGTGTTTCCCCATTCACATATTGAACACTGTCAAAATACAGCAGTTGGCTTTTTTGGGCTGTTGTAAGGTGCCCTGTGACCTTTTCTGAAATTGTATAAACACCTTTCCTTTTCATACTTTCCTTTACTTTTAATGTCCAAATTGTCTTTTCACCTGCTGCTAGTGCACATGTTCCGATCATTGGGTTTGTTGTCTTGAAAATGGGAAAAAATAGAAAAACGTTTACTTTTACTTTTTACCTCAGAGTTTGTTGTTTTCCCTCACCTCACCCCATAATACATCACAAATCAAAAGGTTTTTCTTTTCACTTGGAAAAGTGTATAGTGAGCCACTCAATATAAAAATATATGGTGCTATGTTCGGATTAGGGTTGTAGAATCCCATTTAATTGGTTAATCAGTTAAACATGATGTTTAACCAGTTAACTAATTACAGGGGAGGTGGGCAGGGGTGGCTACTCCAACCTAGCTGGGCTGGAGTGACTCCCTCCATCCATCTGCCAAGGCCAGGCTGGAGCAGCCATCCTTCTGCTGCCAGGCATGCTCCAGCCTGGCCAGAGTGGCCCCTGCCTGTAGTGGGCTCAGGCCCTCCATGGGCAGGGCCTGCTCCAGACAGCTGGAGCAGCCCCTCTCCATGGCAGGCCTGCGGGGCTAAAGCAGCCCCCAATGCACAGTGGCTGGGGAGCTGCTCCAGGCCGCACTGGTTAATCAGAAGTGGTAAGCATCCTCTGCTACGGGTGATAGTAGTTAACCTTTCACATCTCTAGTTCTGATTGTGTGGCTACATGCACAGCTCCTGTGTTGTATCAAGGCCAGATATCGTTTATTAATATTTTCAAATCAAGATTTATTGTCTAGCTAGAACAGTTTTTTCATTGTCATTATGTCTGTCACAAGTAAAATTAATTTTAGAGAATAACTGTAATCCTAAAAAGAAAGGGTAGTATATAAGGGCTGATTTGGTAACTGATATACACATATGTTGTGCAAGCCTGGTAACTTCATTGGAATTGTATGCGGGTGTAACTCCTCAATGAATTAAAAAATTCAGTGATGATTTGTGATTTATTTCTATTCTAGTAAAAACTTCCAATGTGCTAAGTTATGTCCACACATCCAAGCAGACAGTCCTGTAAAGTTTTCAGTCTAAGAAACCTTTATTCTGCTCAAACCTTTACATGAAAAAAAGGGTAGAAATGTCCAAAGTGCTTAAGTGATTGAAGTGCCAAACATCTCATTTTCTAAAGTGAGTTAAGAGCCTCAGTCTTATTGAATGTCTTTTAATGGGACATGAGGCTCTGAAATCATGGTTGAAAATGGGGCGCCATGATCACTCAGGTGACTGGAGGATTGTACTCCAAATTGTCTGGTATTTATGCATATACTTACCATATTTTCCTTTTCAGTTTTTGGTGGTGGTTGTTGCTTGTGCATTTACCCTTCCTCCTTTATGTGTGTATGCTGAATAACTTCTCTCCTTCATGTCTTTCTCCTTTGTGTCAAATTAATGAGTGCAGTAAAGAGGGGTGGCCACTACTCCAGTGCTTATTCTACAGCAAAATCCCCAGGTGAGCCATTATTATTATGGCTTTATCTCCCCATTGTGCCTCTTACCATTCCATTTACCCTTCTCTCCATTTCCATGAATGTAAAAGTGTGCTGGATCTATCCTACTTTTTTGAGTGGATCTTTGTGTAGGTGAGAGAGTAAGTGATGCTTGTACCTGCCAGATATCTGCAGACAGTTCAGTAACATTATATTTATTAAGGTATAATTTGACTACATGTAGAGAAACAGTCTTACAATTTTTATCATCATTCTAGAGACAGCCAGCCAAGATTAGCTGGAGCTGATTCATTGAGAATTGCTAAAAATGTGGCCAAATTCAGAATAACGTGGAACTGATTTGCTTCTAACTTATACCAGAGCATGTCAGGCCCTATTTGTTTTCTAACTTTTTGTGAAGCAAAACTTAAATAAATGTAGATCTTGGGATGTTGGCTGCAATCTGGCAATGTATTTATGTGGAAAAATGGATATGTCCGGTATGTCCTTAAAAAAAAAAAAAAGAAACTCAAAGAACCCCACCCTCAACCACCTCCATTTCCCATGTAAGACATGTATTCCTAATTGGCAAATGGCTTACAATATTGGCCCACATGGGAAATACAATTTTAATAAATCTTTTAGTGTTTAGTGTAGCATTGCACTATTTCATTTAAGGAACTGGGGCAAAGGAAATGTATATGTGTATGTATTTGTATTAAAAGTTATACAGGCAGTCCCCGGGTTACATGGATCCGACTTACATCGGATCCCTACTTACAAACGGGGTGAGGCAACCCCGCACTAGCTGCTTTTCCCCCTATCAGACCAGGGAGACACAAAGCTAGTGCCCCACCCAGACCAGGGAGACGTGGAGCGGCTTTTCTCAGCAGACACCTCAGCTTGAGAATAAAGGACTGAGGGAAGTGAGGTGTGGGAGAATAAAACTGAGCTCTGGAGAAATGTTTGGCTAGAGTTTCCCCTACTATATGTACCAGTTCCGACTTGTATACAAATTCAACTTAAGAACAAACCTACAGTCCCTATCTTGTACGTAACCCGGGGACTGCCTGTACTCTAAATGTGCTGCTTGCTGCCTTGTACATGGAAAGACACAAACGCTGTGAGCTTACAGTTGGAGAACTGATTTAGAAAGGAAAAGCTTCAGGTACACATGCAACAATCAGCAGCAATGAACAAGTTAGAAATACATAGTTTGACGGATGCTTTTTACTGGAAATGTCAAAGGAAGGTATTGTTGTTTCAGTTAGGGATATGCTAGTGTATATGTTTACAAAAAAACAAAGCAAACTCTCCCCCCACCCCATCGTTCCTGCCTGCTTTTTAACATCCATAATTTCAGTTGGCAACTGCTTTCCTCCTTTTCCTTAGTCTGTCTGTGTGAGATCTCTATTTCTTGGGAGCTGAGGGAGCTCAGTGCCTCCCAGGATTGGTCCCTACAGATCTGTCCTCGCTACACTTAGCATTTATCCAGAAGAGCTGCAGAAACCATAGCTGAGGTCTATCTGCAGGTCTGTCTCTTCTTGTATAGTCTCCAGCACAATATAGTAAACCTCTCTGGACAGCTATTCTATACTGTGTAAGCAAAGGATTAGAGCAGTGATCTCATATCCTCAAAGATTGGACCCCTTTTCAGTCTGTTGAAATTTTATGGCCTCTTCTCCCCCCCTTCCCCCCCATAATATAGCTGTGCCTGCAGTTCCCTTAGCCCATGCTGCTTCCGGAGCAGCATCCCTCAGCACTGTGGGCTGAAGGACATGCTGCCTGCTGGCATGGAGCCTCTCAAGTCAGCTAAGAGCCTCTGTGCTGGCAGCCAGCATGTCCTTCAAGCCATATTATAGGGATTTTATAATGTAGTTGATTAACCAATTAACTGATAAGCAAAAGCTGATGGGTTAATGCTATAGACTACATGCATTGCCCTCCCCTGCCTTGCCAGTAATTTTTTTAGCAGGCTGGCCAGCAGTCCGGTTCAGTACTGGCTTGCAATAGTTCCAGGTCCTACCCCTGGTATGCCTCTGTTTTTAAAGTGTATTAGGAGCTGGGCAGGCAGGAAGCCAGGCTCGGTTCCAGCTCGCACCAGGTCCAGGAGCTCAGACTCCTCCTAGACAGGAGCTGCTGCCACCCCATGCTACTGCCTTTTTATCAGAGGCAGCAGCACAGGGTGACAGGCAGAAAAAAAAAAACCCCTCTTCCATGCCCCCTCCAAGCCTCACTGATGTGGCCCTAACTGTGCTGGTGGGAGCAGGGGACATAGTACTGGGGAAAGGTGCTAGTGGGTGCTGGGGCAGGGGACAGGGTGCCAGTGGGGGCAGAGTTCTGTGGCTGGGGAAGGGGAAAGAGAACAGGATGCCGGGAGAGCAGGGGTTAGGGTGCCAGTGGGGGTAACCCCCCCACCCCAGGAGGGAAGCCCTGTCGCACGCCTCCTGCAGAGCCGGCACGTGCCTCCCACAGAGCAGGGAAGCGCCGTTGTGCCCCCCCTCCAGGCCCGACTCCCCCCTCCTGCGGAGGAAGGAAGCCCTGTTGCATGCCTCCTAGTGGGACTCCTCCCCCACCCCCAGAGGAGGGAAGCTCCAGTGCGCACCTGCTCTAGGGACTCCTAACTCCTCTTCTTCCCACCCCCCTTCCCAGAGGAGGGAAGCCCCAGCATGCATCTTCCCCTGGAACCCCTACCTCCTCTCCCTCACTCCGAAAGGAGGGAAGCCCTAGTGTGCTCCTCTCATCGGGACTCCTCCTCCCTCCCCTGCAGAGGAGGGAAGTCCCAGTGCGCATCTTCCCCCAGGACTCCTACCTCTTCCCCCCCACGCAGCAAGTCCCCGGTGTGCCACAGACCTGGAGGGAGGGGAGCAGGCAGTGCACTTCCAGAAACCCCAGAAATGGTGTGCCACTGCCGGACTTCCGTCCACCCCGCGGGAAGCTGGCACTACCTCCATTGTCGCTGGAGGTAATTAGCGGGGCTTCTTGGGGTTGGGGGGAATTGTAGGGGGCTGAACGCCCTTGCGATCGACTGGTTGAGTTCTCCTGATCGACGGGTTGGTGACCACGGAGTTAGAAGAAGACCACCGTGTCTGGCCTACGCTTTTGGCAATGACCAAATGTGGTCAGTTGTCATAGTGACTGACTGACAGTGTTTAGTACGTTGTGTCTAGTGGTTTAGAGACAAATGCAGTAGTAACTGGTTATAAACCTAGGTAAAAGTTATTGAATAGGCATGCCAATAACATACCAAGGTATGCACAAGAGTTAATTTTCCTATGAACTATGTAAAATAAGCTTATGAATACAAGTGACTATTTCTGCTCCTATTGCACTAGTTAGCTAATTCCAGGCAGAATTCTCTAGCGTTGCTTGGCTTTACTGAGAAGAATTTCAATTTAAAGTTATTTCCGGGAGTACAGTGTAAAATAACTAATACTTGACCCTTCCTTTTCATGAAATGTATGAGGTTAAGGAAACATTATTATCCCTATTTTATGGAAGGGATATCTGAGACAGAGAAAAGGTCTTCCAAAGAGCCTAAGGGACTTTCAGTTGGGATTGTGCTCTGTTTAGATTCTTTTGAAAATCTCCCCCAGTGTAATTTTGCTAGGGTCATAAGATGCTCAGTCCTGCTCTCATTAAAGTCAATGGTAAAGCTTTCATTGATGTTAACAGTGCAGGATCAACACCTTTTATGTGTCAATAGCAGAGCGAGAAACAGAACTGGGAAGATCATCAGATTCCAAGAAAACCAATTCCCTAGATAAACTGTGCTTAATTTTTAACCTAGCATCATGCACATTAGAGAGAGAGATTTTATTAAGGCTGTCAGAACAGTTGTGTAGTTACAGTAATCACTGAGCACACAACTATTCAAGCATTACAAAATAGAATAAAGACCCTGTGTAGGAAGACTCCTCAGTTCCCAGAGAAGTTCAGTATTGTATGTTGGTTGGCATTTGCATTGCAAAAACAATGGTGGTGGTGAAGAATGGTGCATAGCTCATTAGAGAGATTCTTCCTACGTATGAAAAAGGGTGGGTGGTAGCTTGTGTTTCCATGGAAATGAAATGTCTTTTGTTGGCAGGTTTGTTTTTCTTAAAGGAGAAACTTCCTCCTCTGCAAAGCTTCTTTCCCCTCCGCCCACAGCCCCAGTTTTTCCTCTCCCCAGGCAAACAAGGAGTGGATGCCCCACCCCCCCTATTCAAAAAAAAAAATTAGGACTTTATCTAACTACTCCTTGAGTGAATAGGAGTACTGTGGAGGTTTTATTATTCCCTGAATAATTAGAATGGCTGAATACGGTATTGGACTGTTTGATTCTTATCTGAGATGCTGGCATTGGGCTTTAGTCTTTTTGGGTACACTCAAATGATACCTGAGAGGGGCACATTATGTTGCAACAGGCATTTATGTTTTTATTATTTTAATAATCTTTTCTTCCTCTTGGTTGCCTCTGCTGCTCTGGACAGTCAATGGAACACCCAGCAGCCAGATATCCACTCCAAAATCTACCAAGTCCTCCAGCTCTTCACCAACCAGCCCAGTGAGCTTTCGTGGACTCAAGGTAGGTATTGGACATCTTGGTCTTTTTGCAGCAGAAACTGATGCTTGCTAATGACAAACCCCTTACTAGCTAAACAAAGTTCCAGGTGGCGCTCCAGAATAAAAATCAAAACTGTGTACATACCTTCAAGAAAACAAAATCCACTTCTAGACCATAAGCCAATCTGCTGGTTTAATTACTGATTTATGATAGGTGGGCTGAATCTCTGAGGTGCAGCACAGAAGTCTGAGTTTATGGGAAGGGGGGAGATTGGATGCAGTTTCTTTCAGCCATCTTTGTGCCTACTTGATCCTGAGCTACCCCAGAGACAGGAGAAGGATCCCTTTCTTCCCATGACTGTTGAAAGCCTAAAGCTACAGTAACCTCCCAGGGCTGCTTGGGCTGCAACACTGCATGCTGCTGCCTTACCCCTGATATTCCTCTCTCGCTTCTTCCCTGCGCTCCTGCCCCTCCCGCTCCCCGGTGCACTCTTCCTGCCCCTCTACATTAGGGCTTATTAGTGCTTCTCTGAGGGCAGCCCTACTAGGGATGTAAACAACTAGTCAACTACCCAATACGCAAATGCTTATCAGGTAGTTGAGTAGGAATTCATCTAGTTGTTCCCCCTCACTTGCTGCCTCTATCAGAGAGCAGCAGCAAGGGGGAGGGGAGACAGGAGCCGGTGCTGGGGGGAGCTGGCTTAAAAGCTGGTTCCCCCAGCACTGTCTTTGTGGGGGAAAGGGTGTGAATGGGGGTTGAAACAGTACATTTCAAAGTAAGAGGCACAGAGGGGAACCCATACTAGCAGGGACTTGAGTAATTATTAAATTACTTGTTTCTTGGTAATAATTTTGATGTCCCTGCTTGCGCGGGTTGCCGCTGCCTTTCTACCTTTCAAATGTACAGGAGCCATGGGATAGCGAGCGCTCCCCTTATTGACTAATCAAGTAGTCGATGGAAATTCCATTAACTACTCGATTAGCTGATTCATTGAAATTTAACATTCCTGAACCTTACATCTGGCCTGTCTTCCACAGTGCCTGTATTAAGAAAATCCTCCTCTGGTGAAGCCATAGCTTTCCCTTCATGCTCTGGCCATGTTACCTTATGTGTGGAGGCTAGAAATGGTAGTGAGACTTGTTGTTCCGTTTTGGAGGAGAATTTTCTAGTGAATACACAAATTACAGCATTACTCTAAGTACACTGGAGGATTCACACCCTGATCATTCTAAGTAGCAGCTCCCATTGTTGTACATAATGGTTGTGAAGAGGATGCATGATTTCATCAAAAATAATTGCCTCAATTTAGAGAGCATAGAAAGGACAGACCACAATTAGAGTGGTAGTCAGGTTCAGTTTTTTTGGCATACTAATTATTATTGAGTCTTTGTCTGTTTCAGCTGCATATTGCACTGATTTCTGGCAGGCTTCCCCGGTGAGCTTACTAGAAAGAAACTGATTGACTTGACAAGTTACAGTATATTATTAAATTACTTGTTTCTTGGTAATAATTTTGATGTGCTTCTCTTGCATTGAGGCAACAATGCTTGACTATACCAGCTCCTCTTTGTTTATGCAAGCTTAGACTGATCCCTCGCTGTTCATTCGGTCTTAAAAAAATGAGATATGCAAGAGTGTGTATCGGAGCAATAGCATTTTTTACTCGTGAAAGTGTGAACCATGCATCTTAAATCAGAATTTAGCTCAAAAAGTCTCCAGTATTATATCCTGAAGTTGCTTATGGTATAAAACACCAATATTGGTGTAACTGACGATGTCTTATATTTACAAGCTTTTTTTAGCTCCTACATGTTAACAATTTTTTTTGCTTTATCTCATTTACCTCAATGAAATTACTGATGTAGAATTATAAATAATTACTATCCTGATTTCTTTTAATACATAGAGATAATTTCTGATAGTAATAAGCTATTTTCAATTAAGTGGAAAGTCCTTTCACTGTCAGTTTCACTCAAGTAGCTTTTGCAGTAATTTTCCATTTTTTAATTCAATCAGTACTTGATACTAATGGATTTTCATGTCCAATAAGCCAAGCATGCACCATTAGAAAGTTGAAAAATGGTAAAAACAAACTAATCCTGCACAAAATTTAAGAACCTACCAAAATAGTAGCTACCTTTCCTTTTTTCCCACTGGTATGCAGCTCTTCAAAAGTAGACCCCAGCTGTGTTTTGGTCTTTAGAGAGATGGTAGGGTTAGCTGGTTCATCTTGGGGTCAATGCCAAAAGGAGTTAATGCATTGTGTCACAACACTTGTTTCTGGGATGCATTCCCAGAAACACTCATGGCTGTTTCTGGGAAGTATTCCAACCAGTATGCATGAGGGGCAAAGAACTTGCATAAAAAACGGTAAGCAATATTGTTGCAGTTATACCTGGTTATACCTGACAGTTATATCTGTCAGATGCTTTTCAGGAGTCCATTATGTTGGCTTGACCTGTCCATCTATGAAAGAGGAAAAATGTTTTTAGTCTTTTGCAGGGCCTTTGCTGTCCTTACTTTATCCCACTGGCAATGTCCTCTGTTGCACATTGTGTTCTTAAGTTCACAGGTTGGCTTCCTGTACTTGTATAAAGCTGCAAAGAACTGCTGTCCAGGAAGTGACAGTAATTGCAGCTGAGAGAAAATGCAAATGTTGAAACCCTGGCAGAACATTTATCACATTGAAGGCACAAGATGATATGCTGAGTGTGGGTTTGTTTGAAAAGCTAATGTTTTGGCTGCTGATTTCATTGTAGGCATGTGTATTATTATGTAGAATATTAACAGACAAAACTAAGGGTATTAAAAGAATTGCTGGTGGTTTTGTGTGAGCACGTGCAACAATTCATGCAATAGCTCACTGGAATTCAAAGGGCAATGTTCTCCCATTACACTTTTATTTTCTTCCTCCCTCCCTTTTTTTAAAAACCAGACCCAAATACTCATTCTAATCCACAATTTAGAAGAGAGATACTGTGGTCACATGTGAATGCTATACTGCTGATAGAGCTCCCCATTTCAATGGCAGTTGATATTCTGTATAGAAAATATGCTATTATTTCTTTGATAAAGTGGTTAACAATTCTGGTAACAGTATCTAGTGTTGCATAATCATTGGAGGCAATAATTATGAGGCCTTTTTGTCTGAAAAAAGAGAACAAATCAGGGTTGATTTTCAACGTGCTGAAATGATCACGCAAGAACAGCAGCTGCAAACACAATACCCTTGCAACATCAATAGTTTCTTGACCTCCAGAGCAAAGTATATGGCAAATTAAGTAGATGGCATATTTCATCACAGGATTGAACTACATAATAAATGCTAAAGACTAGGGCAGCTTTTGAGTGATCATTTCAGTCATCAAGGCAGTAAAATAGCAAATCATACTGACTTCAGTAGCAATTTTTCTTCTTGATCATAGACCTCGACCCTTATTCTCTTCATGTCACTTTTCTTCAAAATAAAATGAAGATCTGTTTCACTCCCCAAGGGTTTCTCTCTGATCAGTGTACTAGAATGGTGGAAATGGCACTCTTGGGGCAGAAAACTAGTCAGTCTTGAAAATAGGGATGTTAAATATCGGTTAATTGAATAGTCAAGTAACCTCATGAAATTTTATAGGTTAGTCGACGATTCTATAGTCCCCGAAGATGGGGCCAGCAGCCACTGTATCAGCGGCGGCAGCGCGGGGTGCCAGGTGGGAGCTGGTCCACGAGGGGATCCAGTTTAAAAAACAGCTCCCCTCACAGACCGGCTGCCTGTTGCCTTGTGCTGCTGCTTCTGAGAGAGGGGCAGCAACAGGGGGTGGCAGTAGTCCTTGTCGGCGGGGAGGGCAGATATGAGCTTCTGGACCCAGCACAAGCCAGTACTGAGGTGAGATGCCTGCCCGCCTGGCTCTTAATACACTTTACATGCAAAGCCGCAGTGGGAGTAGGTCCCGGACCCGTCGCAAGCCGAGATTGAGCCAGGCTGCTGGCTAGCCTGCTAAAAAATGTACTGGCAGGGAGAGGGAAATCCGTGTAGTCTATGGCATTAACCTATAAGCTTTTGCTTATCAGTTAATTGACTACACTATTACATCCCTACTTGAAAAACAGCTTATCTTTGTTAGAGGGGCTTTTTCCTGCCTTGATAAACTTTCATTCAGAATGTCATTGTGCTACTAATTCAGAACAGTGAGCTAACAGACCAGATCAGGTTGCAGTTTTAAGTCCCCAGCATTCAGGCAACACTTGCACTGGAATCTGTGTGATGATACTGAAGTTAATATGAATTTAATTTGAGTAAAGATTGGGAGATCAGGCCCTTTTTATAAATAAATGTGTAAATTTGATGGCAGGAAGAAAAGTGATTCTGTGCATTGAGGAGGATAGGCTAGTGAATGAGTGAAACAACACACATGATCATATACTACAGTTTGAATCTCTCTAGTCCGGCACCCTTGGGACCTGACCAGTCCTGAATCAGGGAATTTGCCAGACCAGGGAAGGTCAATTCAGTGTCTGCTTTCTCCTGTCCCCTCCCCAAGAATTCTGCTTTTCCCTAGGCAGCTCCACTACCACCCAGGACTTGCTGCCAACTAGGGGTCTGTGCTCCCACTGGTGGCCAGGGGATTCACTACTGCCCTGGTGCTCCCCACTCCTCTCAGCAGCCCTGCTGCCATCCAGCTGAACCATAGGAGGGCAATATTGTCTAGCAGTGTTACCAACACTACTACTTCGAGTGCTTGCTTATGTCCATTTCACTTAGGTGTGTGCATGCTATGTGCACAAGTTCTGGAAGTTTTTTTACCCTTAACAGTACCTGTTGTGCCAGCTGGGCAGCCCCCTGGAGTGGCACCAGTATAACCGGGCATATATTTTCCTGCTGGTCCCCCTCAGTTCCTTCTTACCACCTGGACGGTTTCTGGAACACTTGGCTTGTGATCGCAAGTGTGCCCTTAGCACTGTTATCTTGTGTAAATAGTTCTTTAGTGTTGTTGTTTTTTGTTGTTACAATAGTTAGTAGATAGTTTGTT